AACCAACCAAACCAAAAAAAAAAAAAACATATATATACATATATATATACATTTATACTATACTATCCGCAATTATCCACTATGTAAACGATTTTCTGATAATATCACCTACAGATGGCAAACGCGAACTTCAGCAATTCATTCGTATCCTTGATGTTTTAAATATACCTTATAAACATGAGAAGATGGAAGGCCCTTGCACTAGTGTTACTTTTCTTGGCATAACACTAGACACAGACACCCTACTTGCGTCGATACCAGCTAAAAAGCAAAGACAGCTAACAGCTCTAACATCTTAATGGCTACACAAAAATAGTGTTGCCGAAAAGAATTGCAATCTATAGTAGGGCCGTTGGTCTGGGTATGTCAGATCATCCCACAAGGCCGTCCCTTTATTCAACGCTTTATTAAAGCTCAGAAGATTTCAAAGAATCCAAAATTCCACTTTCGAATAATCAAACTGATGCAATCAGATCTTCAGTGGTAGATCTCAGCACTCAAAGAATGGCATGGTATTCATTTACTACAGGATACAAAATGGACACAACCATCCACCCTCAATCTTTTCACAGACGTGTCAAATATCGGTAGGGAGGCCGTGTTTCAGAACTATTTTACAGCTTTCTCCTAGTCGAACAACATTGACCTGAACTCAATGAACATTCAAGCCAAAAAACTACTGACTATGTTAATCGCAGCACATATCTTTGCTCTATTATGGCAATGGAAAAAGCTTATAATATGGACAGACAACCTATCTAATACCAAGACGTACTATGCTAGGTATTGCAAAAACCCCAGAATTAATGACCTGATTGGTTAGCTTTATACCATACAAGTGCACAGCAATTTCACCATAAAACTCGAATACATTCCTGGTATCCACAATCTAGATGCAGACTTATTGTCCCGTAACGGCCATCGAGAATTCATTACTCACAACTCTAGTGCACGCTACCTTAACCCCAACATTCCCAACCTATACAAAGAATTAATCTCTCCTATTCCATCTTTAAAACAATAGGTAACACACCAACAAGACAACCCAAATTCACAGTTTCTCATCCTCATAGCACCAACCCCCAATATTTTGGTACAAATTTATCACTAGATGCCCAAGCTGCACAACTTCTCAACATAAAACAACCTCACAACAAAGCGTACGAAGCCATAATCAAATGATATGAAACCCTTGCCACAGCCAATCAATGGACCAACCATGATGGAGCCGTATGGCCAGTATCACAAGACTTTTTGATAAATTACATAACTTTGCTTCACAAGACTATCACACCCTCTACTATCATGACTTACCTCTCGGCCCTTAAATATCATCACTCAAGAAACCACTATGACTGGAGCCCTATTCGTTCTGACTCTCTAGTATTGCAACTTCTGAAAACCATCGAAGCTATATACACTCACAAGTCTATTAATCAAAAATCTCATATTACCCATCAACACCTGCTACAAATTCAACAACAACTGAATGCAAACAACAATGTAGACACCCTATTCTGGGCCATCACTTTGTCAGCCTTTTACTGTCTTGCATGACTAGGGGAGCTCCTACCAAACAACCAATCAGATGAAATCAAGGTTCCAACCATGGCCGTACTAAAGTTCGAGTTATCTGAAAGCAATATCTTCACAATGATCCAACTATCACGAACCAAAAACACAAGTCCACCAATTGTACATCACTTATCATACACCCAACTAATGATTTCCTGTACCCTGTGTGTGCATTGAAGACATACATGAGTATCCGTATACAAGGATTGTACGCCAACAACAGCAACCTACTGTTTGCCAAAGGTGACAGTACATAGGCCACCAAATGCTGGTTCATCACAAAACTCAAGCAACTACTCCCAGATGAGAACCTAGCAGGACATAGCTTTTGAGCGGGTGGAACTACAAAACTTGTCATACGTGGTATGCAACTCGTACTAATACAGAAAATCAGTTGCTAGGACTTCGAATCATTCTACAGATACATTCGCAGTCACCTGGCATCTATTGCATCAATTCTCACCAAAGTATACTCTGATTGACCCTACTACAATTTGGAATCACCTGGGTCAATCAGCACTAACACATTATTCGACACCTATACAACGACACACAAATAAACAAAAAAAAAAAAAAGAGATAAACGCAGCATACACATGTTACGTGCAGATAGCAAGTGAATAAGCAATCAAATAAATAAACCTAAAACAACCAAGCTACAGCAACAAGAAACATACAATAAATAAATAAATAGTCAAT